CTTTCGATTCTTGCAATGAATCGCCCTCTTTAACGATTCTACAATTGACCTTTTGCCACCGGCTCAACGTGACATAATTCTTCCCAACAACGAATGCACAAAAACAACGTGCCATCACAATATTTTCTCAAACTTTCTTCTCCAATCCATCAAATTTCAACTTTCATTCAATCGAAACTTTTGTTTCGTTCCAATTTTTTCCCCAGAATTTTCATACAATGATGAACTTTCAATGAAACTAACACGAGTGATAAGGGGATTCTTTTTTTTTGTGGATTTCTCAGAACAAAGATAATCTTTACGAGTTGTGCTCAGCTGTCACATTCACCGATCGTTCCAGCCGAAGACGAGCACAAGTTAATCGCCCGATTTCAAATCGGTGAACAAATGAAGATGAATCGCTCGTCTTAATTTGTTCACCTATTTGAAATTCAGTTTTACTTGCGATTGACAGATATGTGAGAAAACAACAAGTGAACTGGAATTTGCTACGCGATCAAATGTGAACTTTTAAATCTCGAAAATCTAAATCTAAACCGTGATAATCCAAAAAGATTGTTGACTGTTTGTGGAGCATGAATGCGATTAAATGTTTATTTAATGATTGAATCACTCAACAACAAATAACAAATTGAAATTCGAGCGAAATAGACGTAAAAATTGCGGTTAACAAACTCAAGAGGACAGAACAAATCATCATCATCAGAGTTAAACATTCCAAATACATATCAGTACGATACATATTTTATGAATATCATAAGTGAGGTTCAAATGATCACACAGTGTTAACAACAAAAACAAATCGAGTGGAGTGTCGAGCTTTCAATTCTTCTCAGCTGCTTTCTTCGCCGCATTGCTCAAACGACCCACATCACGATCTGCTCGATCCTTGACCATTTCTTCATTTTTTTCATTGATCGTTTTTGTTACCTCTGCACTCACTTTAGCCTCAAATTTTTTGAGTAGTTTAGCAAAACTCAAAAAAATTGCCGTCTGTGGAAATGAAAAAAAACAATCCAAAAGTTTGATCAATTAATTCTAATTCCCATGCGAATAATTTTTTTTTCTGATGGATGCCATATTGCGAAACACATTCAAGAATAGAACTGAAACGGCCAAACCAACTGACCTGTTCGACGAAATTCTTATTCTTTGGTTGAATAAATACATGCCGTCCTCTTTTGGGGCCTTTTGGTGGAGTTTTTTTAACCTTTTTCTTCGTGCCTTTAGGCAACGTTACCTGAACGACAATACAGTTTACAACCTCATAACAAAATCCACTTCACTCGCAAATCAGCCAGTGATTACTTAAGATAAAGTCATCATAGCATACAGAAGAGACACCGTAATATAACAAAAAAAAATTACACGAACAAAACCTTTTGCTTCGTGCCTTTAGGCAACGTTACAAGATCGCCGGGCGATTTAAGAACTTCACTTTTCTGTGCAACTTGAAATTGTTTACAAATATAATTTGCAAATTCCATGCTTACAATTCGAAAATATAAGAAACTATCTCAAACAGCTAGACATGGTGGCCGAATGATAACCTTTTGCTTCATTTTATGTTGTACCATTTTGCGACAAAATAACGATAAGTGCGAATGGATTAGCTCAACAGCAAACTATCTAACGAATAGGATATAGAGCGCTGCAGCGACACAACAAGCCGAAACCGTTGAATGTAGACGAACACCAACTACGGATGCCTGAAGAAATAATCCGCCAAATCGTAACAGATTATACAATTGCAATAGTGGACTAATTACACTACCATTTTGAATGCATTTAGAATAAGTTCGCTGAATGAACGCTCATTAAGTTGCGACAAGTTTCCAGGCAACACTAATCGTAGAATTTTTGCGGATCAGATCAAATATGGAAAGCAATTTCAAAATGTAACGTGATCAGAGACATGAGCACAAGCATATCCAGTTCTCACCTTATAAAAGACACCAAAGAATCCTTTCTTTTCACTCAATAGCCACGAACTTACTCTCGGTACACGTTTCAAATAAGCGCAAGTACAAATCAACAACAATGCGACAACCAGTAGACCATCAAATGAATATGCTAGAATGAAATTTTATCATTAGCCCCAATTCATTGCCTTAATCGCACTTCGTCATTATTTTTTCAACTGATCGACATCATTTTAATCGCTCGTTTATAATATAACAAGTGAGATTCACCATTATAATGCTCTCCTCCAGAATTCAATTCGAATACTCTTAAAGAATTACCTAACAAAATAATGTAAAGTGTCTCTTAGCAA